AGTTGTATCTGAGAGAAGGATTCGAGGAGAAGTGTGAAGAATGGCGTAGTTTTGAAGAGGCTGTAAACCCAACTGATATGATGTACCATTGCTCCCAGGGAAAAATGTGGAGAAGCATTCTTTCTCCCAGTGGCGACCCTTTTGTAAACAGCAGTAGATCTTTATGTTTGACATTGAATGCAGGTTAGAATACAAAAAAAAAAAAAAAAAAAAAAAAAAAAAAAAGGTAAAGACGAGATATACTTACAACCCAGTTAAACATAGATGGATTCCAACCATATGATACTACCTCCGCTTCTTGCGTCGCTTTTTATCTGCAAGTAAATAATTTACCAGTCGAGGAACGCATAAAGAAAGAAAACACGATACTGCTTGCATTAATCGAAGGACCGCATGAACCCAACACTTGTCAAACACAACGCCTATTATCCATTGTTACAAACCAACTTCGCTCCTTGTATTTTGGTGTTCAAATGTCTACATTCAACTCTGGAAAACATGGCCAAGATTACGGTGCTACTGTCAGAGCCTGTTTGTATCAAATCTTGTGCGATTTACCCATGCAACGAAAATTGAGCGGATTTACTGGATTTTCTTCTACGCGATCATGTTTCCGATGTGATAGATCGTTTAAAGTTTTTCCTGACACATCTAATTTGGATTATTCCGGCTTTGATGCTGTGCATTATCCTGCAAACGCCAATAAGAAGCTGAATGACATTCAATCCGACAAGTGGTTAAATAGCCATAATAACGCCGAAAGACATCGCCAAGACAGGGCCCACGGTATGAGATATAGCGTTTTAAGGAGTTTGAGGTACCTTGATCTTGTAAAAGCTACCACCCAGGATCATTTACATTGCATTTGGCTGGGTCTTGCAAAATCAATTATGTCAAAGTATGAAGAATTTGGATTTTTTAAACCACAACACTATCAGAGGTATTATAAATTTATGACACTATATATACGCAAATGTCATTACTAACCTTGTGTAAAAATGTTCCAGTATGGCCGCACTCGCTTCAAGTATCATCACGCCCAACGGTTGCAGCTCTATACATGCCAAAATAAAAGGAGGTTTTTCTTATATGAAGGGCATCGAATTCGAAATCTGGACCTTGCACTATTCCGAATATGTCTTAAAGTACATGATTGTTTCTGATAGATTAGTTGATGGATTTCATAAAAAGCATTATGCAAACTGGTTACAATTTGTGCAAGCTTGTAGAATTGTTGTACAACCCGCGATTACTACAGCCCAGGCATTCGAAGCACGAGAACTCTTCCGCTGTTTTTGCAAAGACTATGTGGTACTTTTCGGCCCTGAGGCAATCAAACCTAACTATCATTACGTCCTCCACCTGTCAGAAAATATTGAATACTATGGCAGTACATTCAACACTTCTTGTTTCTCTCTCGAAAGAATGAATGGTGTCCTAAAGCAGTCGACAGAGAATAGAAACCTTCGATCAATTCAAACTTCGTACATGACAAATTTTTTGGAAAGCATTCATATCTCGTCTCTCATTAAACAATTAACAAGCACCAATATCATTTCTAAAGATCAAGCCCACATTCTCCACAACACCAGCGCTATCAACCAATCCTTATACACAAGCTCCAGTCCTCAAGATCGCATTAATTTTTACAAATTGTCTTCCTATGAATATACCAATTCGGGAGGTGTGGTGACCGGATCAGAAATGCTATACTCTCATCCGAATATTATCCCTACTAACTTTGATGAAATTAAATCCACTCCGCTCGATCCTTCACACCATATGCTTCTTATTGAATATTACACTCTATGCTACCCAAATCGTTCATTCACCAATCTCTTTCATTTAACCACGACAAATCTATGCAACAACCATGGTAATTCACTTTCCAATAACATTCCTTCAATTTATGTTGGTGCCGACGCCAGAATATCCAAACAATTTCAATCTGATATTATGTACAAAAGCCGTATGGCAAGATCGATGAAAGGTGCGTATATTCAAACATTCTTTAAAAACAATCATTCGTCGGAGTCCGTTGCCTGCTTTTACGGCGAGATACAATATTTCTTTCAACACGTCGTAAATGTTAACGGCAGTGTTACCCCCCACACATTCGCTTTCGTACGGTGGTTTATCCCCGTCAACCCTGGTAACAACATTTTAGAAAATGAAACTATGGAAATATGCAAAGGCTATGAAAATACAAATGTTCATTCGATTTTACCTGTACATAGAATACACAACGCAATCACGGTTGCATGTAGTTCTGACAATTCTAGTAATCCACGAATTCAAAACGGCTGCATTGTAATAATTCCTCAAGAAAAAAAAATATATGTTTAAGCTAATTCACCTATGCCCTTTTTTAATTTCAATAAACCACTATGAATATGTAAAAAATTGTTGTTGGAAAAGGGGGAGCAGATTAAAAAAGAAGAAAAAAATTGTTTATTTACAATTCAGGAACTCGGGCCCAGTCGGGTGCCTGATTTAGAAATTCGGGCTTGATCACCACATGCTTGAAACGTCCCGTATCCTTTGTCTCCTTTTCTTTTTGGGCGTTTTTTCTCAAAATGAGATCATACTCATCGAAATGTTGAAAGGCGCGACGAGCCTAAAGACGAATTGATTTAGTATGTATTCTATTAATAGGAATACACTCATATTGTATACCTCATTTGTGCGCCAATGGGGCACCATAACCCGCAAGCGTGAGTTTTTTTCGGTCATCCCTATTTCCGAATCCGTGCTTTCCTCGTCACTTTGGAGTTGCTCTATCAAGAGCTTCTCTATGTCATCACCATAAGCATCTCTCATTTTTTTGCCATACTCCTCGTTGACCATCACGTTTTTTCTGTGCTTGCATTTCTACAATTATATTAAATATTAACCTTGGAAACGCCTTGCATATTCGTAACTTACAGAAATTCTTCTTCCCTTTCTTGTACTTTTCTTATTTTTTAAAAGCTTTGCTGCGGGAGATTGCTTTTCGTTATCCTGCTTACGGCGAAAGACATTTCTGATCTTGTTTTGAAGATCGTTGTAGGTAATGGATTCCGTCCAGTTCTTTTTGGTTGACAATGTGATTTGAGCACCAACAAAATCGATAATATTTTTAGTTATACGGGTGTTCTCTACCGTCATAAATGCCTTAGATAGGTTCCACTCCAGATTACCAACCTTCTGGTTAGCAATGGACGTTTTAATCCAGGCCTATAATTACAAGGTAGATTAGATATATGAACGGTTCTCTATTCTTGGTGACATACCGACAAACTATTGTAAAGTGCACCCCCTATTTGGAAAGGAGGTACATTTCCATTAGTCAATGCGGGGGTAGCTGAAGAAACAGCAGCTTCACCGGAAAGAATAGACAATATTTTGTCAATTTTATCTTCCACCATGTCAAGTCGTGCCCTCAAAATTTCTCCGGTAACGATGGCTTCCTTGACCTCATTTTTTATACTGTTCAGATCATTTTTAATTCCTGTTATCTGAAAACATTTTACAAAGGCACCAACAGTTGCTGAATCATCTCTGCTGCTTAATTGCGACGTATTCATGGGAGCAATAGATACCATATCTTCTTGTTGAATATTGTCTGTCACCGACGAGACGGAGCTACTACGACTTCTAGTTGCTCTGTTAGGCAAAGAAGAATATCTTGAAGAGGGGTTGGTAGGTCTAGTCATATTTAGAATAAGTAATTTCTGGATGAAAAACGTGAAATAATCATATATACACAGATGAGCTCTCATTCAATATTATGTTTTTTTGTGATATTCCAATTGGGACCGAAACTGTGTATGACCTTTGGTACCTGACTAGTATAAATGGACTTTCAATTTTTAGGGTTTAACGTGATTTTTATTGACAAACATACTATCAAGTCTTTTAAGTATTATTCCACTCATGCATATTACGAAGCATCAGTTGCCTCCGGTGTAGAAGAAAATATAAAAGAAGGAAACAATTATTTCGGCTTTTTTAATATCTTTTCTTTCTTTTTGTTCAAACTTTCTAAAATGTAATGCTTTACTCCCATACTTGTCATGCCAAATTTTTTAACCATATATTGCTTTATTTTAGTTCTTTGAAATCCAAACATGCATATCTATTATAGGCTATCATTTGGACGTATTTCTTAGGTGCACTTTAAATGTTTTTTATATCAGCTTAACCACCTCTATTCCCGGACCATTAAGTCAGTTTAACAGTAGGTACACAAAAACAATATCTTATTAAGCATACCCGTATCTAATTTTTTTCAAAAGGTTATGCAAGCTGTAAAAATACAGGAACAACGCGACTGCTCTGCGTAATTAATTCTAATGCTTGGCCGTAGCGAATTGCGCTGGTTTACTCTACTGTGAGGTCTGATACGGGAAATACTTAGACAAAAAGATACATAGCGCTGTTTTTCTACTATTTCTATAATAAAATAAAATAAAATAGAATATACTTTCCTCATAATATTCCCTTATACATCGAATAATTTGCTATATGCAACGAGTAACGTTTATGAAACCTTACCCTTTTGTGTATGTGTGTATATGTGTGTATATGTGTGTGTATGTGTGTGTTTTTGTGTGTTTTTGTGCGAGTAGTGTAGGATCAACCCTGACAATTCCCGAAGCGTTAAATACAAATGTTTATAAAGACCTCAAAAGTAATAATAGATTAAGCTTTTAGTTTCAGATACATGAGATCATTCAGTAATTAAGTTATTTGTTTAGCCACGATTTGCATCGTTTGTTTATTTGATGAATTGCATAATGTACAAAGTTTGAAGTTCCACAAAAAAAAATAACAATTGTCATCGGAGAACGTGATGTTTGCATAACTTTAAATAGTTGCTTGCAGCTTACATCACAAAATGTGTTACTACAAGATTTAAAGTCAACCCATCCCCCCACTATATTCAAGTTAAGCAAATTCGATTGTCAATCTTTGCATGGTATTGTTCCACCCGACAGAAATCACTTTGTCGGATTAATGTCAATTGTTTGGTTGGTATTGACCCAACCGATACCAAAACTGAGACATAATTGACTGCACGAAATTAATCTTTTAACTATGTGCTAATATCCTTACTCGCTATGGGAACGGCTTGTTGAGCATGTGATGATTTAGTAGGCTCTTTCGATTTTTTCTTGGAATGGTGACTCTTGTCCTTCTTATTATCTTGCTTCTCCTTAGCCATAGCCTTGGCATCCCGAAGTACGAAACAATCTTTCATTACGTGATTAGATTTATCGCACACATGACATTTCAAACCTGAAGAGTTCTTGTCCTTGTGATTGGACGAGCGATGACGATATTGCGCATTTACGTCGACATCCATCATATCTACCCCGTTTTCTGAAGTCATTGGAGCCCAGTCGACCTTAGTAGTTGGAGCTGTTCTATGAGCTGATGATCCATTCTTGTACAAAAGGCCTTGTTCCAATTCAATAGCTACATTCACGGCCTCCACCAAAGAAGATGGTCTAGTGGACATTACCGTATCAGCGACCTTGGAATCTACCGCGGAGTAAAAGAAACTAAGTTTCAATTCTTCATTGCCCTGTGCGACAGTCGAAATCAAATTCATGATACGTGGGCCAAAAGTAGCCATGGATTCCTTGTTCTGTGCTAAGGTTTTGAGGGTAGCAATGGATCGAGCCATCGAAGCCTTAGATCCACCATAAAACTTTTCAAATGCGATTATCAACGCTTCAAAGTTTTTGGTGACTGTGTCCGGTTGTGCTTCCCACCACGAGTTTGCGTGACCCTGCATAGCCATCATAAACTCAGCTAAGCATTCCTCATTGTTATATTGATGATATAAAATTACTTTACGAAATTGTGATAGCCATTCTTGTGAAGTAGGCTTATTCGTGCCGTAAAAAGCTGGTGTCGGGTGTTTGTTACGCGATTGCGTGTTTCTAACCACTGATGCCCGACCTGTGTTGACACGATTGGCTGATGCCATTGTTGCCAGATGTCTTGCTTGTGATACCACCGATGGTGTAGCTGAACCTACGGATTGGTTATCCCAACTGTTGTTGACAGATTCGAATCTCTCTGATTTAACATCCTCCTCCATGCGTGAACCATGCGTACTGATAGAATGTTGTTCCAGGTGTGAAGATTCGTTACCTCGGTGATATTCCCCTACAATTTTTTCCTTCGAGAATGGTGTTGATGCTTGTGTAGCCCTTTCAATATCCGTTCTGGTTACAATTGCGTCTTCAGTAATAGGAAATCCAAGCTTGATTTGTTCATTAAGCTTTCGATTTTCAGCTCTCAATGTATCACAAGTGAGCTGAAGGTTATCAACTTCCCGATTCAGACCTTCTGCACGTTCATACAGATCTTCACTACGAGTAGTCATTTCTTTAAGTTGAGTCTCCAAAAGTACGATGGTTGCCTCATTTCGATTTTGCTGTTGGTGAGCTATTTCCAATGAATGTTGCAATTTCGAAACTCTATCTTCCAATTTTTCGGTTCTTTCATCAATTTTTGTGGTCAGTTGCTCATAAAACTCTTTTTGTTGAGCAAGTTGCCTATCATAAAATATTTTAAGATTTTCAAATTGTTGGAGATGGATGGTTTCCAGTCGACTTTCTCTTTCTTCCACTTCCTTTCGCATACTGTCAATTTGTGTCTGATGGTTCATGTTAGACTGACGTAATTGTTCGACACTGGATAAACGTAATGCATCCATTTCATGATCAAATTGCATCTTTAATTGTTGTGCTTGATACTGAATGTGTTGAATCTCGGCGTCGTTACTTCTTTCGGTAGCTACGATCTGATTATAATCGAGGCTCCATGGATTATGAGGTTGATCCCCTCCATTAGAATAAGACATGATCGACAAGAATTAACAGTAAGCTGATTTTATTTGATTATTATCAAGGTTGTTTTTAAGACAATAAACGCTATTTAAGCTACTCCACCAATGTAAGAGGTAGCGGAATAAGATAGGTTATAAACTGAGTTTTATTATTATGTGCTTGGTCTAGGTATAAGTACCTAGTACCTAGTTACACAACTCTTACACAACAGAAGCACAAACATGGACTGGATATTGAAAAAATTGAAACAGACATTCCTTCACCTAAATCTGCGCCTGTGAAGCAATTTGTTTTGTATATAACTTATATGTCGCAGCATATGAATACTTTATTTGATTTCTACGACTTTGAAACTGCTAAAGTTAAGTGGTTGAACTACCTTAGTTCCCAAAAAGCCATTCAAGAAAGTGTTAATATTTTGATAAATGGGGGAAAAAAGTATAATAAAGACAAGAGAAAAAAAACAAGGAAGAACAGAAAAAGAAGAAAAAAAAAATCGCAGACCTCGTACTAATCCTAAAGAAAGAATACTCATCACTACGCCTAAATCAAAAAGGTACATATGCACTTTTCTCTTGTCATCATAAATTCAGTAAACTCTAACTATTATATTTGTAACTTACAGCAAAAAAAATAAAGCATGTTTTGAAGTGGGAAACAACAACAAGATGCCTCTGGTTATCTTTGGTGACGGACTGAAAAACAAAGATCATGTCAAATTTAAAGGTCTGCGACGTGGAATATCTAACAAGATATATAGTCAGTTAAAAATAAGAGAAAGGATTGGAGAACTATTGCTTGTAGATATCAATGAGTTTAAGACATCGAAGGTTAGTAGGAAAAGAACACACATAATTTACGTATTGTGCTTTCAGCTGAAATCGATTTTCCATAGATCTGCAACTGCTGTCTCAAAGTTAGCCAAGATGACCATACAAAAAAGATTCATCAAGTATTGAAGTGCATAACTTGCAGTATTTATTGGAATCGAGATGTGATGGCTGTGGTATTTGACAAAATATTACATAGAAAAGTAATGAGATAAAAGTATATTTTTATTAGGGGTAAAAATAGACTAAAAGAACTCTGCTGCTATGAAATAATTGATCCTTTTTATATTGCACAACTCTCCTGAGTTTTAATGATGAGTCAACCTTTCTGGTTTTGGAATAGATCTATACTTTGTTTCCCGCCTTGGGTTAAATGGATACTACTCGTTAGAATTGTTTCCAGATAACGTTGTCCCATATCAGTGGATCGGGAGCATGAGTATGCTAATAAATCTTTAGTATTACGAGATAGAGTGCATCTGCTTTTGAGTAGTTCCTAACGTGTTTTGTGACATTTTTGAGCATTCATCTCCGACTAGTACAAGTAATATAAAAGGAAATTTATTTATAGCCAGATTTTTTTATGTGGGGAAGATTTTTTTTTTTTTAAAAAAAAATTTTCAGGAAAATATATTTTATTTGGGGGGAGTCTAAATTGTTTTTGTATTTTTTTTTTTTTTTTTTTTTTAGATTGAAAGCCATCAAGGAGCAACTAAACAGCACGTCTGTGGGATCGATATTCTTTGGAAAACTTTTTGATAATATCATCAGCTTTCAAGACATCATTACCCTTGCTGTAAGCGTCAATATATCTATAAGCACGATTATAATATCGTCTATTGATTTTATGACCGAAAACAGCCTCATCATTGTCAAGAAACTCTTCAATTCTTGACTTCAGAGTATCAAACGAGTAATCACATTCCATTCGTGCATATCGTTTCGCTGCGCCCCAATGTCTTTCAATCCAGTTGCACTCGCAATGGTACTTCGGGTATAAAGTAAAAAGGTGACCAGCCTTGAATGTTTTGGTCTCAAGCATGTTTTTTTGCGCCAGAAAATCCGGCTGCTGGGAGAGCAGGTACTCAGCGCAACAACCAGGCTTGACCGAAGAGTCGTGAGGTGTCCCACTCACACACGATCTTCTAAGATGCTCGTTTCTCCCAAGCAAACCACGTTCTCTCAATAGAACAATCATTCCTTTGAACTTCTCACGGCGCTGTGAACATAATGAAATAAAAATTGATATGAGTTTCTTCTAATTTGATATAACAAGTATGTATATTTACTCCGTGTTGGTGTTTTTGAACAACCTCCAAGTTGTCAAACACCTCTCCTTTTTCTCTCCGTCTAAGGATCTCCTTTCTTGCGGCTTGAGAATCGAAATCCTCGTACTTGTACATACTTTGAGGCCTGATGATGCCGTTTCTATCTACAAAAGTGGTATCCCGAAACCTATACTTGGTACAAACTGTCACATTGGTGGTCCCGGAATTCATCCTTGAGGCAAGAAGAGCATCATCCGCAAAGGCTTTATGGTTTGAGCTTTGGTCAAAGGCAAAGATACCAACACAGTTAGGATGCAATTCATCAAAAAGAGGAATCACATCATTCAACTGGTTAGTTAAATCTTTGTTGGTCCAATAACCATCGCCGCTACTGTTGCCAGGGAAGAAGATGACTCTTGATATCAAATTGACACCATTAACTGTACCTCTCATTGTTCCGTGGCAGGGACACATAAATGAACTGATCATGATAGATCTTCCTGGACCTTTAGGAATGATCATGGATTCGTTCTTCTCACACCAACGAGTGACTTTACAATCATTTGAATAAAAGATTGATTCGTCGTGAGTAACTAAAACCATCTTCTTTTCATTGTCCCTCAGGTTAGGTTGAACTGGATCAGCATTTTCATCATCCAATGTATAGGTTTCCATACGCTTGTGCCATTCCATCATCTGACGGGCCCACTTGATTCGATATCGAACAACATCAGGACGCTCATGACCATCAAAGTATGTTTGATCCTTTCCTACACATATACGCCCAAAATTGTAATCAAGCTAAAGCATTAGTAAATGTGCTAAGTTTTACATATTGTATTTACCAGTCTTAAAATTAAAACCCCAAGCCTTCAAGTAACTTGACAGAGCATCGTTCGAAAGAGGATGCTCTGGTTGAGCGGAAATGACATCGGCACCCTCGACGTCATTTTCCAACTCAAGCAACTCAGGGAGTACTTCTTGTCGAAGATGTTGACGAAGTGCAGGGATACTTCTACGAATAGGGGCTTGACTACGAAGCCAAGCAAGACATCTCTCCTTCACATCGGGGTCACCAAGGATCGATCTTCTCTTCACATGTTTACCCTGCTGGTGAAGTGGAATTTCACCAGTACTCAACAAAGTTTCAAACCACTGTCTAGCAACACGGCGACGGTAAAATTTGGACGCGTGAGGCCAGTGCAAATTAACCGCACGCGTTGTTGCTCCAACAAATGTCTCTCCTCCCAAAAGTTCGAGCATCACTTGCTTCACCACAACATACTTCAAGAACTGGTTTACACCTTCTTGATGTTGATTGGATGTACAATTTCTTGACACCACAATCTTTGACTCCAACAGGGGCAAGGCGTCACGAATCTTTTCCAAAGCAGTTTCATCGGGTCTTCTTGGTCTTTCAATTTTTTCAGGCTGAGCTGCTGTGGTGACCTGTTGCAGAGCAGGGAAAAAACTGTTAATAGGACGACAGCCTACAGCTGCCTTGGCTGCAGCAGATCTCTTTCTGCTAAGAGTCTCTCTCGCAGGGACAAGTTTACGCTTAAACTTTTGGTGTCCTGTTTCTTCAGTTGCATTACTCCAGGAAATAGGAAAAGCTTCAGCGTTAACCTGGTCATCTTCGGGTTGGGGAATGTCAACGATTTCAGCCTCATTAACAATCTCTTCATCAGGAACGTAAGCAGCTTCTGCGATTCTTTGTAATTGTAATTCTCTGGCTCTCTTGCCAATGTTCATTCTTCTTCTTGATTTGGCCATTGTATAAATTTATTTGTATAGATAAAAAAAGTGTCTCCAAAAGATCAATGACAGTAATAAATAAATTAAATCAAGATTTTTTATTGGTCTTTTTAAACTCCCGGTTAGCATTTACATCTACATATATTGTACTTTGCGAAATGTACTCTGTAATTCCAAACCAAAATTCTAAAATACTATTGTCTCAATACACATACTGCTGAATTTAAGGGCATTTCTACTTATTACATTATAATTAAAGAAGAATTTCTTCTTTTTCAGGGTTGATGATATTGAGCCTCCGGCTGTGATTTCATAGGCCGTCTCTAAAACAACTTCAAATCAATATTTCAAGCCTTTCAATAAATATATCAATTTTAAAAAGGGTCAGGCATCTTAAGAATATACTTCATAATATATATTCTAAATTTCAAGTGGTTCTACTTAGTACATAAAAAAGGTTTAAGCTTTTTTACCCTTTTTCAGGGTTGATGATATTGAGCCTTCGGCTGTGATTTCATAGGCTGTCTCTAAAACAACTTCAAATCAATATTTCCAGCCTTTCAATAGATAAATTATTTTTAAAAAGGGTCACGCATCTTAAGAATATTTGTTTTAATGTATATTTTAAAATTCAAGTAGTTCTACTAAGTACACAAAAGGTTGAAGTTATTTCAAGCCATTGCTAACGATTATATAGTCTGTGCGCGGTTTTTTAAATCCGTGAGCACAAACAGTGGGTTATTTCAAAATCCGAACACGGCTAATGATATTAGCGGCAGGTTATTGGCCTAAAAACTTTTTTGTACAGGTTGTGACATTTTTCCCCCGCCCCCACCTAAAAAAAAATGTTGAATCCAGAATCTGTTATGTTTTTTAATTTGATATATGTAGATTCTCATTTTAATCAACATTAAAAACAATCCTAACCTTTCAGATGGGATATTAATTATAAGGAAAATGTGTTTGACCCATCTAATTATTTGTCTCTGCTTAAATTTTTTTTTAGGTACCACTATGGCGGACATAACAGCAGCTGTGAATTAAATGGAAACATAACTGCCATTTTTTTTATTTGCTCGATATCCCCAGCCAATAAGATTTGAGTAAAAGATTGCTACAAATGATCATAATATCATAAAAAAACAAAAATGCTTCAAAAACATCTCTGGAACGGTCAATATGTAGTTTAGATGTTATAAAAACTATCTCGAAGTTAAAATTAGATTGGTATGTGCCAAAAATTTGATGCGATATTGATCCGAATTTGATGGCTTACCGTATACAAAATGATTTTTTGCGCCTGTGAAGCAAATGGTAACAAACTTCCATTTTTTATTATTTTAAAAACCAGTTTTATTTATAAAGAAGATGTTGCGCCTGGAAAAACTTGCGAATGACAAGGGGTTCAAAATATACCAGTGTAAGAGAATGTGGTGTGCCAAAAGCTTGTTAAGGGAGAGCTTTAAAAGTGACAACCAGACACACAGAAGAAGGGTAACAGTAAAAAATTCTTATGCGGTTTATTTCATCAATATCGTTAACAAGGTAAAAAAAAAAAAAAAATGTAGAATCAACAAGATCCCGATAGTTCAGACTTTATCAATGACGCTTTCGAAGATATGGGTCGCTATGAGACCCCCATCATAGCAGACGTGCTGTAGGTTTTTTTTATTGTTTTTCATGCATGATATATGTATACTCATATGCGATACTTTATTTTTATACATTTCTCCTCCACCAGAGCTAGCGAATGAACCTTCACGTAAAAGAACCAGAAGAAGATAATAGTCGTGCCTGGTCGACATGATTGGTCCATTCTGGTTTTTAGCTTCTTTATTAGTGTGTATTTAGCGTTCTTTTAGCTTACAATTTTTTCTCTGTTTCTTTTACTTTTATTTATCTTTTAAAATGAATAGCCTTCAAATAACGATGGTAAGGGTATGTACCCCCTTCAAAATAACGGAAGGCGTGAACAAGTATGTTCGAATTGGGTATGTTTGCAATGACTGAAGCAATGACATGTAATCTGTATAAAAAACTAAAGGGGGTTTTTTTTTAGATAAAAATTTAGCCTATTTTCGTTATTTTGATCAAACTAAAGCACGTCTGTATAATATAACCATTTTCCATGGATAATGGTTTACAGGTAAATAGCCTTTAAAAAGTTATGTTTTATTCTTATTGATATCATACTGCTTAAATATAGACTATTTATTCTGTGTACCTTTCACTCAAACGAGGACATTTTAGGAACACCACCGGTCAAATAATTATCGACATCAGAACTTAAGGCTGGTAATAAAATGTAGAATTAATTACAATATTATTATTTTCTAACAATACCTTTATAGAGTGTTAAGAGTGTCAAAGATAAGCTAAAGTAACATCCAAGCATTATAATGGTATATCTTATTGCCATGTATACAACCACAAACCTAAAAAAAAAGGTTAAAGTTATATCAAACCCTCCTATACACCACTGAAATATAAATAAACAATCCAATAAAACGTGCTTTACTGCCAATAATAACGATGAATAAGAAAATGTGAGCCTACCAAATATAAAAGAATGGGTCTAAAAGAAAGGTTAAGGGTTTGTCCGTTTAAAAAAAATGGCAGCTGTGAACGTTTTGTTATTATAGAATATCATAACTGCCACTTTTACAAGCCAGGAAAATGGAAGCTGTGAATGATTTGTCTTCGACAAACTAAAATAGGTGCCATTTTTTAAAACCAAAAAACAGCAGCAGTGAACCTCTTGGCTTCATTCAACTGTTAAAGGTGCCATTTTTGCCAGCCAAAAATATGGCAGTTGTGCCTCTTTTGTTATTATAGAATATCATATCTGCCACTTATGCACGCCAAAAAAATGGCAGTTTTGTGAAGTAAATGGCAGATAGTTGCCATTATTTCCGCCATAGTGTACCACCAAAAAGCAGATGCACTCTAAGCTGTGGTATTATTTATAAGTTGTTTTTATCCTTTGTTAATGCAGATATTGCGTGTAAACCCCGTGTACGTGAGGTGAGACAAAATAGCTATTTCGAGCTTCTTCGCTAAAGTAACTCACAGAATAGTGCTTGTATACACTTCGGGATATTTGTGTATACAACAGTTACCAAATTTTTTGCCATAGCGTATTAGCCGAAATTGGCATGTTTTATTCTTAGTACATCAAAAACAAAAGGGATCTGTGTAATTTTTTATATATATAAAAAAAAGGTTTTATTTTTGTCTCTTTGCGTCAGAGTCCGCAAAGGGGCTTGTACGTGTTAAGGACTTGGAAACTTGCGCTCTCTCCATATCACTTTCCAAGGAAAAAAGCTCCTGGTTAATATTTAAACCCAATTGAACAGGAATAGATCGGATCTGTGTTATCCATTCGGGGTGGAGGGTGCAGTTTCTCAATTTTACTAGCATTGGAATATCCTGTTGAAAAAGATTCACTTCTGCTTCCCATCTTTGTCGCCGGAACTTGATAATGCTGTCACAGCTATACTTGGATAATAATCCCAATCCACGGAATTGGAAGATCTGAAGTACTCTGAGCCCTCTACGGCCGAGTATCATCACTTTTGAATGCTGACTACTTGACATACCGGAGGTTTCTGGACGAGATCTCAGCTGATCAACTACATCAAGAGCTTCAAAGTACACAGTGTAGATAATGGCGGATATCCACCTTAAAATATTTGCTCCTAAGACCTGGCCACTACACCTTTCATACATACGAAAAGCTTGAGTACAATTAGTTACCCCAAGTACAACAGTTGATAGTGAAATTGATGTCGGAGGTTTGTCAGCAAAAAAACGTATAGCCTCCTCAACTTCAGCAAAATCAGGAAGTATTTGTTCCACAACCACAGGAACAGAACTGTTCTCGGTTATCCCATCAACGACAGATTCAGCAATATCAGTATTGGCGAAAGTATTATCGTGTGTAGTGGTAGGTGTAGTGGTATGTATGAGGGCAGGCATTAGTGTAGTCATTAGTGTAGGCTTGAGTGTAGGCGTGAGTGTAAGCATGAGGGCATGCGTGAGTGTAGGCGTGAGTGTAGGCGTGAGTTTTGGCGTGAGGTAAGGCGTGACAGCAGGCGTGACAGCAGGCGTGACGGCAGGTGTGATGGCTGGTGTGGATGTAGTGGTAGCGGCAGGTGTGAAGGTAGGTTCTAGAACAGGAGTAGCGGTCGAGGTGACAGTCATTGATGTATCAGAATTGGACAAAAAAATGGCATTGTCCACAAGGTCTTTAGTGTCCTCCAAAAGGGAAGCAAAAGATGCGCCTCTGTCTCCTAGTAAGAAGGATTAATATTCCAGGAAAAACAAGGGGTTATTCACTTACTTCGCTTGATCTCATTTTCAATCTCTTTATAATAAAAAACGCGTTCAACTTGTTTAAAAAATTGCAATATTTTTTTAAATCCAATTTCTTTTAGCTTTTGCTGTAAATCTACGGGAATGGAATCCATCTATCGAGCTCTTAAAATTTTGCTGCTACTTCACTTTGGTTTTTTTTTACCTTCAAAGTTTTTATATTTTGTAAGAAAAGAAAACTGTTAATATTTTGTTGCATGCACTTTTTTTACTTCCGCCTCTATTTTAGTCTCAGTCACAAGTCCGCATCTCAAAGACTGTTTGATAAGATAAAGCGTGATCTTTCCTTTTTGACAGCACTCTCCTTCTTCTTTCCTCCTTTACAGAGCTGTTACAGCAGTTAAATGTAAGCAAGAATAAAAAACACAGCAAAATTATTAGCTGATAAAACTTTAGTGAACATATTGTGAATAGACTGTTAAATCGCCAGTCTGCTGAAATGGAATCATGAAAATACTTTTTCTCATGTTTTGAGACGTATATATAAAAATATAAAACAAAAACAAATAATGGATGACTTCCGAAACGCAGACTAGAATCAAAAAGAAACAAATAGAATAAAGTTCAATTTTTTGGTTGTTAATGATCATATAAAAACAATAGATTTTGATACGAATAAAAGAAGCATTATAGGGTATAATTAAACTAACATGGGTACCGATGTCTTGATGTATTCAAACATTATTTTCATCTGATAATTTAGTTGGTTAGATGGAGTTATATATGTAAGATACGAGTCAGAAAAAGCTAATTCTATTTTCACTGTTCTGGAACAAAAATAAGATTTACTTTGAAAATCCAATTCCGGGAGTTAATTCTATTCTATTTAATGCTACATAGTGCGGTATGAAATCATCCATTAAAAAAACGGGTCTGTATTAATTCTTTGTTAAAGTTATGGAGAGAAGCTCACTGCAAAATGAGGGACGCTTTCTATATCAAAACATCTAAGAGATTGAACCTGGTGCAGACTAAACAGTGGCTTGTTTTTATCTTCCGAAACATGAAAATTAGAATTACATAGTCTTAGGTCAATCAATATTTTAATATAATGAATTGATACTTCAGTAACAGATTGAAGAGTGTCATAAATAAACACAGACTCCATTAGTGGGCTTATTGTAGACCCTCCGGGAAGATGTTGTACCAAAACTTACACCCTCAAAATTACACCTTAGGGACAAACAATGGGAGCGTAATTATTGCCTAGGATTTAATACCTTTTTGGCCGCTCCAAAGAGATCACATGTTTTAGTGGCTGTCTATTAAGCTCCTTTAACTCAGTAAATATAAAAATACTTGTTTTCTTTAAAAAATAAAATAAATATTAGCTTAAAATTTTTGAGAGTATCTGCTCCCTTGCCAACATTACGACCAAATATCACCAAAGAACTCAATACCAATTTTTTTTTGAAGCCTTGTCCCGAACCCAACTTTGAGACACTACCCGTCAAGGTCAAATGAACATTTACTGATGCAATTGCCCTGATTATAAGAAGTAAGAACCGCCAAAATTGGGTTTGTTGTTTCTGAAATTCAATCAATCGAAAATGAACTTTTACAAAGTCATTACAGAAAATACTTTTATGATCAGTGATTGAAACATTAAGGGCTCACTTCTGATTATGTACTAGGGTATTGAGCAGGAAATTAAAAGGATTGTCGTATTTGGGTATGATTTATTTGAGAATAATCAAATAAATCGAATAAAATAAAAACATGGAATAAAAACATCCTTTAATATTGAGTAACAGCATACACCTGTATACTGCTACACAACGACTCCTACTATGAGTACATATTTCTATATAAAAAGATTGCATGATTGGCTTAAAATCGATATACGAATGACAGTTGGATATAGAATTCTATACCACTGAGTTACGATATCACCGGTCGGGAAGAGAAGCTTCTCCGATCAAATCAAGAAATATAAGAAAGAGAAACTTAATATTAATAGTTCTCTCAATGGATTAGCTACCCATAGAGAGAATAGAACAGCTATTTATATAAATGGTTCATTTACTTATATATTGATAAACCCAACTTATACGACTGTAAGTGTATAAGAGAAGTAGTGCATGGAATATTTGGATGCCTATTTTCTACAACTAAATATACAAACATCGATAAGATGTTCTATATTTAGGATCACATATTTACCCATGTCTTAGATAAAAATAATCAACAGAATGGATAAATGATCAGACATATCTACATGTTCTACCACAGCCAATTAAACACAAAAACCTTATGCATCTTTTAACTAGCCACCGTTACACAATATCTTACTGGAATTCTGTATTTTAAACAGAACAATAAGAGTGTCCCAGATCGGTTGATTCAGGGCGACGTTATTTGAAATCAATTCTAACGAGTAGAATTCATTTAATGTAAGGCGGGAAACTGAGTATAGATTTATTACAAGACCAGAAAGGTTGACTCAACACAACTACCAGGGGAAGTTGTTCAATATAAAAAGGATCAATTATTTCATCGCAGCAGAGTTCTTTTAGTCTATTTTTACCTCGAATAAAGATATACTTTTTTCTCATTACTTTTTCTTTGTAATATTTTTGTCAAATACCACAATTTTTTTAATGAAGTTGTATCAAGAATCTGCTGCTGCCCCTGCTTCTATCGAGAACTCTCCCAATATGGAAATTCAAGATCAAGAACCCTCTACCATGGATTTCGCTATGGACACCTTGCAAATTGAAGAAGGTCATGTCAATTACGGCCCCACTGGTCCTACTGGTCCTACTGTTTCTGCTGGTCTCTCTGGTCCTTCTGGTCCTCCTGGTCCTGACGCCACACAAACCCAAAAAGGGAATGTTGGTTCCATTATCGTAAATAGTAAGCACGATGTTGGAAAAAAATTTCATCATCAATTAATCAAAAAGATTAATAATGTTTCTATTTTAGATTCACCTACCTCCGATGAATTAGACGAGGATGTTGAATTAATCAAATTATATCAAAATCGAATCAAGCAATTGCACAAAGCACAACTAATGTCTGACGATTTGGAAATTTTAACAAAAAACAATAAATTGATCGCCCAACTAAACCTGGCAATCAACGAACTCAAACCCAAAACGAAAAAACAACCGGAAATGGAGAAACCAGCTTCCACCAAAAATAATTTTAAAAAAATCGACATCCCAAATTTTCAACTTATCGATGATCCTGTATCAACAAAATCAGATCATTACCCTTCATACGAAAATGCGGAAGCCTTTGTCAACACATTTGAAACAATCCTTCTGTCAAATGATGTCGATCCCTCAACAACGTGGAAAAAATATTTGCCCAATGCTTTCATGTTGAACAAAAATGAAAAACACCGACGCTGGTACACAAATTACATCAATCCAATCAGCCAACATGCTTCTTGGGACGAAGCGAAGGAAAAGTTGATTGACCGATTTGGAAACTCAGCGAACAAGGCCAACAATCTGGAGAAATACCTGGACTTACGCCAATTAAAAAACGAAAACATTAGAGATTATGTCGATAGATACCTGGATACCTATCGTCGACTTCCTTACGAAAACTCAGGCAGCAATTCACTGGACGCCATGAAGTTCTTAAAATCACTTTTACCCAGGGCAAGGGAAGAGGTAACTAATTCATTGAAAAAAAATCAAAAAGCGGACATGGAATCGTATCTTCCCGACAACCTGGAAGCTTTGTTTAAATATTTAGAAAAAAATATCGGCGATATCCAAGAGGCGCTTTACATCTCAGTTATCGTACCCAATAACAACAAAACAACAATAAACAACAGTGAAACAACTACAGCTAAACCCCATAGCAACATTGAAGGCTTCGATAACAACAAAAAAAGAAGTTTTCAAAATAACAACAATAACCATCCGGATCAACAAAAGCGATTCAAGGAAAATAAAAAAGGTTCATGTAATTATTGCAACAAAGCCAACTTTAGTTTCGATCACCTTAAAACATGTGTACAATATTTGACAAGCGACAAATATAAGCAGTATTTAGTGAGATCAAATGAAATGAAAGAAAATGGTAGAAACAATAAGGTACAAATTTTCTATTTAAATTCAAATTCAGAAATTAAAACTGACAATAACTCTAATTATAGTAAACACTACCAACTCTTGGAAGAAGATCTCAATGAAACCTTTGACTCCATCTTTCAAATATATTTAGATAGAAATAGAAATAAAAATAATTTAATAAATAAAAACCATCAGTTCAACAATAATAAGAATGTATCATGTTATTTAGTTGAAGGATATAATAAAAAAGAAAGGGATGATCTTTCACCCTATTCTCCGTTTATAATAATTAATAATGAAAAAATGGTAAGCATGCTGGACACAGGTGCCACCGTATCTATAATTAACTCCGCTTACGACTTCGAAGACAAAAGCATATTAGAAAATATAATCCCTGCTGTCGGTCAGTTATCGATGCTTCAGAAAGATGCATCATGCATGCGTATTGGTACTACCCAACCTTTAGAAGTTAATTATAGAGGAAGACCAACCTTCCATCACAAATTTGAAGTTGTCGAAATGTCAACTTCCACCACTCCTATCCTTATCGGAAGAGATTTAACAACCAAACTTGGTATTCGTATTGAAAACATTGCACATAACTTTGATGAAAAAGAAGAGGTTATTTATAATGACACTGTAGACGATACCATGTATAAACCAAATGTAACAAAAGCTTGTTCAGAAAATGAATATGATCTATTTATGGAAAAAATGAAACCATATTTAGAAGCAAATAAAAACATCAATGTTCATGAACTATGTCCACGTGAGGATGCTATTGTTTATTTAAAAACACCTCCTCATCAAACGGCTTTTACTAGACCATACCCTATCGCATATGCTTTAATGCCAGTGGTTAGGGATCAAGTCAAAAAATGGCTTGATGATAAAACTATAGAGCCTGCAAAACCTAGCAGCTTTAACAGTCCATTGACTTTAACACCTAAACCT